TGAAGGAAACTGAATGGCTGGGGAAGCTTCGGATGATGTCGGTTCTGACACGATCGGACCACTCGGGGGTGATGATGGTCGTGTTTGGGCTGCTCGTTGAGGTGTGGATGTGCGAACTGTGGACATAACTGCAGGAACCATGGCTAGGTCAGGGTCATCCGGTTCAGAATCCCTATTTGGGGTTGACCTTGAACGGGGTTCTGATGGCGGTGACAAACCCGTTGAAGCCATGACACAGCAATGCAACTTTTGCACTCACACGAAGCTAGCTCCACGCGCTTTGAGCAGCGTGTCAAAAGGTGCTACGAGGAGATATCCCTGGATTGGCAGCTGATTGCGACACGCTCAAGTGAGCCACTCAAGAAAATACGTTGCGAAACGCTCAAGTGAGCCACTCAAGAAAATGCGCCCTGCTGCTTTGCACCTGATGAATTCTGTATTTGTAATTGTACTTGTAGATTGATTGATCCGCACTGCCGCACTATGGTGCTTTATCGAGGGATGTTGCCAAGCTGTATTGAGAATTTGTCTGCAAATCGAAGGCTTGTAATTGCAAAAGCTGTACCGCGCAAAGCGACGGTTTTAACGGCTTGCAGCAATGGCTATCGAAGTACCCGGCTGGCGGGCAGCTGGGATGCAGATCGGTGGATCTCCTCGAGGTACTGCGATGGAAGCAGGCCCCTTGCCGCCGGAATGGATTGTCTGTTCCGGGACTCGATGAACTCACCAAGGTTCTCAAGCGCGTTGGCAAATCCGCTCGGACCGAAGTGCGGAAAGTTGCGGAACGCCGCGATGCCTGTCTTTTGAGCTTCACGGACAATCGATGCTGTATCGTCAATAAGGGCGTGTACGCCCAGCCCTTGCAGGGCGTCTGCTTTGCCTCCCCTTCCCAACCGTTCGTGAACGATTTTTATCGCAGAAAAAGTGAGTCCAGATGTTGCCCGCGCGTGCTCCAGGGCGACCTGAAATTCGCGGCGGCGATACTCGCTTGCAGCCCTGCCCACGAAGGATAGCACTATAAAATTTATAGGTGCGTAGTCCGCTGCAAACTGAACGAGATGTCGGATCACTTCCGGGTTGAGGTGGGGGTCCCTGCTGCCCAACGTCAAGAACTCCGTGCCAGTCAAGAGCAACAACAAGCTCTTTGGGCGGCACCGGCCTTCCAGGCGGAGGTGGTGGCGGCGGGGGCGCAGGCGGTGCCCTCCTTGGTGGCGAGCGGAATCGCGTGCCAGCTTCAGGAGTTGCAGCGCTAGCAGCAGCTGCTTGAACGACCTGCGGAGGTGGCGGCTTGACGATGTACCCGAATTGTGGCGGGTTTGAGCTCGATTTGCTTCTGGGTTCGGCCTTGTTCAAGCCTCGCGGAGGTGCCTTGTACCCGAATGCACTCTGAGTCCGAACCGGAGATCTGGCCCTTGGCGGTGACTTCCTCGGGATGTCTGCCTTTGCAGGCGCTGGAGAAACTGCCTTGGGGACCTCCTTGGGCAACGGTGGCTTGCTGCCGAAAATGACCTTGGGAGCGGCCTTTGGGGGCGGCGGTTGAACTGCCCCGATTCTTCGGCTGTGAAGCGCGATGGGCTCGGAGTGAGTCGGCGCCTCGTAAACGCGCCGAGGCACGTATGCTGACCTGCCCGTCCTGATGGACTCCAAGTTTTGCGGTGGGTCCTCGTCCGAGCTGTAGGCGTCGAGGCGGAAGGTTTCCGCAGGCGCCGGGCGGCGGTCAGGAGACCGTGAGCGTGAGCTCGTGGAGGACCTCCTTGGCGGGTCCCTCCACGTCTCGTCAGCGAGGAGGTAAGGATCGGCTTGGCGAAGCTGCCCAGACGTCCGTTGCGCTCGCCGACGAGGAGCCGCTTCACGTGGTTGTGATGCCTCCCGCACCAATACCCAGGTACCGTGTTCGTCAAACCTCGTCACAGGGTAAATGCTATTCTGTGGAGCCAAAACGATGGGCCGAGTGGCTAGGGAAGTTCTGGATGGCCTTCCCTCCCGCGCAAGCGCGGGTTCAACACTATGGGCCCGTGGTTCCACAGGGGCAGCAGCAGTTGGTCCTCGTCTCGGTGATGTCGATGGAGACCTCGACCTTCTTGGCGATGGGGACCTCGATCTTTGTGTTGATCGCTCCCTGCTGCTCTCCCGCCGCGTTTCCGCAGCTTTAGCGTATACCCCGCGAAGAGTTGACTTTGCGGCTTGTCTTTCCTCTGCAGATGGCCGAATGCGAGGCAAAGGAGTGCGCGAATCTTGCAACCAGGAGGAAGCTGATGGAGGCGTCGGAGGACGAAGCCAGTCCGCTGCACTGCTTGATGCTCCCGCCGCGCCTGAGGCTGCGGCTTGATCCTGAGATGGCGCACCCTGCGGCAATACCACTCCTGTGGTTTCAACCAATGCGAGACGCTGCTGATAAGCGTTGTCCGCGGCCTGGATCACGTCGAAGGCTTCTTGGTCAAAATTCCACAGGTGCCAACTATCCAGTGACTCACGCCAGGAGAAGAGCGCCTCGACCTGTTGCTTCGAGGCGTCCGCAAACCTGATCCACCGGAATCGTCTGTTCTGCCGCTTGTACTCGTCGACGACGATCTGTTGCAGAGTGTTGTACAATCGGGCACGCGGCCCTTTCCCACCGCGTGTGCCGCGGTGAGGGCCGACTTCCATGTGCGACCAACAGGTCGCAGTCACGAAAGGGTTTGTTTACCCGAAAAGCGTTACGGCTGATAACCACTCAAAGGAGAGGGAAACACAGTTTTGTCAACAACGGGGGAACCCAGGACCTTAAAAGGAACGAACCCCTCCGTGACTGCGACCTCTCCCTTAACCTTGGGGCTAGCGCGGTGCAACGCGCTGTTTTCAGCACTTGAGCCAAAGCAGTGATTGGATCATGCTTTGGCAACCACTTGAATGTACAACATGCAACTGACTACATGAGAACCTACCTCATGTACCTCTGGGCCATAAATGTCATCGTGATAATTGACTAAAGGGACAGCCTTCCAAAGGAAGAGCCTTGAACAGGACGGCCCTTCAAAATGAAGAGCCTCCCAAAGGGTAGATTGTGGTTCTGACATTTCGGGGGGTAGAAACTATTAACCCTGTTGGGGGTTGAGCTTCTTTAGATGTTTTTAGCGGGACACTCACAAAACAGTTTTTTGGGATTCCTTGAGACTTATACCCTGCAAACAGCTTATGACTGTTTTTTAGCAGGCGAGGAAAAGTTAAAGAACACCAAAAAGGCCTCGAACAAAACGGTAACTCGAGTCTATGGGTCGATAGACCCCAAGTCCCCAATATCCAAAGCCCAAGACCCCCCCTATGCAACGGTCCCCGAGAAAACCAATCGCAGTAAAACTTACCGGAAACAAAATGGGTGCAAAAGCCAACTTCTTCACATTCCTGCCAGTTGGTGGAGCCCGCTGATAAGGGTCTGGGGTAGGTTCCCATGTACCAAACCACCAATTGAAGGGTACCTGACTTGTTTTTGGTGGGTAGCTGCTTAATAGCCTGTATTTCCTGAAGCTGACGCAAGCCCTAGCAAGCACCTCAGCTTTCGCGCGACCAAGAAAAAGATTCTGGTCCATGTGTATGTCGTGAACATCAAAGTGCAAGAAGCAAAAGTGGCGGGTAGCGACCTAGTCCGCTTGCTGTGGAATTGTTTAACCGGTTGATACCGTCCAAACCGGCGAGTTTTGGGCAAGAATTCCAGTGAGCATGAGTTTTGGTCGGGGGCCCTGCAGTAGACACGAGACATCGGCGATGTGGGGCAGTCCACCGAGCACTTTTGGGGTAGCCCCAACTCTGGAGGCTCGCGCAGTTTGCTTTCGGCTTTGGTCGGGAAAATGAGGCGGCGTGTGGACCCCGGCAGTTGCTCCGTCCCTGGACCCTCAAACCACTTGTATACAAGGGAATTCACCCCATATTTTTTGGTCGGCAGTCCCCCATTTCTTTACTTGGAATTTTGAGAGTCCAATCTGTTTTTGTTTTGTTTTTCCTGAAGCTTTGCTGAACAAAATACACATCCTCTCCCATCCTCTCCTGGTGAATCTATGACGTCACATGTTTTGTCCGGACATGTTTTTTTGTTCATGGACTTAAACCCAGTGAATTGTTTCCCGGATGGGACATCCACCCCAAAGTCGGCCTTGGGGGAAACGACGAAACCAAACGTTTAAAAGGTTGCTTCGCTTTGGGCCAATGGAAGATACAGCTTCTGGAGCCCTTGACTTGATTTGGTCTGGATCCTCAACATTCCAACCTAAGAACATGTTGGTTATTGCCTGCCTCAAACTTATGGGATTGGTTGATGTTCTCCAATTTGTTCTTTGCAATTGTCCCATTTTTGTTGTGGGTCCCGTTCTTTCGGGTTCAGGTGGGTCTCTTTTTCTCAACCAGGGGGCCCGCCCGGGTCGGTTTGGTTTCTGGGCGGCTTCTAGGTGGTTTCCAAACGACAAGTCCATGGAAGATAAGGCGCTTTTGGACCCCATCACTTGATCTGCAAATTTTACAATAATCTCAAAAACTGAAAAAGAATCGGATACCACGTAAAGGATCATTGCCATGGCTTGCGATCGTGATAGCCCCGGATTGGTGAGCTCGATCCACAACTAGCTCCTCCAGTAGAGAGGTTAGAGTAAGGGAACCAACTTTTTCTCTGAGTCTATTGTAGTAGGGGAACCCTCCCAACCAAAACAGAAGGCGAGAAAGGGCACCTAGATGGGGGACCTAGATAATATGCAGACTTGAAATGTGGTCTCTCGCTCTCTCTCACCCTCCAGGTGCCTTCCAGGGATGGTAGGGCTTTTAGACCCTTGATTTGCTCTCTATCTCAGGCCATGGACGTCTTGTGCATGCTTCGGCCAAAAAGATCGATTTCAGGTGTCTCCTGCTTTTTCCTTTGGGTGCCCTCCCCATCTCTCTCTCTCTCTTCTCTCTCTCTGGGCTCTCAGTTTTGGTCTGATCCCCTGGCTCAGCTTGCCGGCTTTCGCGCAGCGCGCTTTCGCGCTTTCGCGGCTCTC